TTTGCCTTGAAAATCACGTTATGGAACATATGATTTACTATGTCCCATAACGTGATTTTCAAGGCAAAGACCCAATACTAATGACCAGAACCAAAATTGATTTTAATCGATAAATCACATGATACATTCTAACTTCGTCATAATACCCCTAATGCCCTTATGCTTATTATACATTTTAATAATTTTTTTTTTATCATTGTTTAGGCGCTTATTACTTTAAAAATCCTGCATCTATTGTAAATACAACTGATGAACTGCATTCGATCATCGACAGCGCTTACATTGTTATCGATGAATCACAATCTATTAGCAGTTTTGATGCTTGGCAACGCACATTTGGTTATTATCTATTACAGAGCAGTGTAAATATTCCTGATTTTATCACTTACCGGCGTGTATATCGTGTGAATAAACTTGTGAATACTGATGGCTATATTGATTGGTATGAGAGTGCCGATGCACGTCCTGATATCGCTATACAAGATTTGATTGCAATTCAGTATCCAACTTATCAACCTTCTTATAAAACAAAATGGCTTCATGTATTTTCGGATAATGATTCTCCAATGATATTAACTTCGTCTAATTGTGTTGATCCAAATCAACCTCAGACCTTTGGAACTTGTAGTGCAAGTAATTTCACTGGAGATTCTTCTAGAGACGGTTCTCAATCTTCTGTAAATAATGGATTAAATGGATTAAATGGTTCTAAAAAATTATCACCTATTGCTGAGGCTTTGATTATTACATTTAGCATTCTTGCCGGTTTGGCTGGTTTTGCTGTCGGTACTTGGTTGGTTCTTGTTTTCAGAAGGAAACATCAAGAAAGATTTATAGAACTAAAAGATGAACCTGAAGTTCAGATGTCTACCGTCACTGAACCCACGAAAACTTCCGTGTGATTCCAAAATTATTTGATATGATTGTATAAGAAAAAAAAAAAAAAATCTTTTTATTCTATTTGTTATGATCCTGTCTATTAATTATTATAATATTGTAATATTAGATGTATGTATTTGTAATTTTCCTCTTTTGGTGATTTTTTCATGGGATTCATAATATTAGAAATGTCTTTTGATGATTAAAAACATCTAATAAAGTGTCTATGTGTATATGGATTTGTTAATACTTGATCACGTTACGTATTGCACGTGTTGATTAAATTTTAATCATAGTGAATATTAGTGAATATTAGTGAATATTAATGAATATAGTGAATATTAGTGATTATTTAATACTTCACTATGATCAGTTTATAAAATAAATCAATTATTTTATGGTATTTTTAAATGATAAAATA